AAGGAACTCGTGTCCGACGCCAATCAGCACGTGAAGTCGGCTCTCGCGTCTGTCGTCATGGGGCTGTCACCAATCCTGGGAAAGGATAAGTACGTAACGTTATAATGCAGGATTTCTTGTTCGCAGTGATCTTCAATCATTGCTCAGGAATTTTCGTGGAGGAGGTGATGGATCACTGTGTATACATCAACCAGTTTAATCTGCATTGTGCTGAAGTTGAATTCCCCGATGTTTTAAAAATTTCTCATCCGACAAGGTTTTGGTGTGTCAGCCATGTAAATAGACATGTGCATGTTAGCTGAGAACACACGCGTATATACGCGCTCTTTACACTTATGCTTCTTATTTATGTGCCTCTCAGTCAGAGTATGCTATGTAAAATCATGTAATCCTCAAAAAAATTCTCGCAATTGATGGATTGCTTTGCACTAATAAATACCTGATTAATACATGCAAGCAGCGTGGCCTGGGTTACCATCGGTACGATCGGTGAGGTGTTTTGCCGTGACTTGTGGCACGTGTGTTGTGTTTTTGCAGCACCATCGAGCATCTGCTGCCGCTGTTCCTTGCCCAGCTGAAGGATGAGTGCCCAGAAGTGCGACTAAACATCATTTCCAACCTCGACTGTGTCAACGAGGTGAGATCCCCTCAACGCAAGCGCATTTTATAAACACCCCAATGTCGTTCTCAACTCATATTCATCCAGTCTCAATGAATAATTGATCCAATAATTCGTTCACTTAGTAAGTAATCGTTATTAATTTTATTATAATTAATATTAACAACTTATAATTTAATAATGTATTCACTAAACTAAATAATGATCTGCTAGTGATCCTGATGGAAAGAAACGAAAAGAATTAGCGAGTACATTTTGATAGTAGCAACCGACAGCTACATTCGAACTTCGTCATTTATGCGTCTACTATAAAGTGTAAAGACCGACACTGATGTGAATGTAAAGTGTAAAGACCGACACTGATGTGAATGTAAAGTGTAAAGACCGACACTGATGTGAATGTAAAGTGTAAAGACCGACACTGATGTGAATGTAAAGTGTAAAGACCGACACTGATGTGAATGTAAAGTGTAAAGAC